GAGTAGTGACTTCTGGAGCTGGGTAACTTACAAAGTGAAACAACCTTTACATGGAGAAGTCATTTGCATGTGTGGTATAGAAAGGTGTTATTAGGTATTACAGATTTACTTTAAACCATTTAACTTATGCTCCAAAGTAACCGTAATTTGATGTTGGTAGGATAGCAGATTATGATGAATAGCTTTAATTGTATGTTATAAAGTCATATGTTCACATGCTTAAATCTGGATTAACAGAATTTAAGCAATTCTTGAAATGTATGAATGTCTCCTTAATATACTGATTACAAAGCAAAAAACAAACAAACAAACAAACAAAAAAAAACAAAGAGCAATAGTATAACACAGAAATATAAAAGGAGAAAACCAATTTCCAAATACTAAAGATCAAGAGGATGAAATCTATTTCAATTAATGCTGAGCAGAGACTAGCAATATTTTAATTGTTCTCACAGAGTGGAAGGTACTCCTGAAACATTTATTAACATGGGATGAGCAATTCCATTCTGTTTACATATTTGAAGTGAACAGAATAAATGTTTATAGCAAATGATTTCTCTCAGAGTTTAGAATAACTAGCATTGCAATAAAACATGTGTTCTAAAGAGACAAGAAAAATATCAAAATATTAATAATGACAATTATATTACCAAAGGAAACAGGACAAAAATATATTTTTTAATGTTTACAAAAAGTAAGATCAATAGTGAAAACAATTCTCTCTTTGAACAGGAGGAGGAGGTCATCTTATTTAGCATAGAAATAATAATCTCAGTTCTGAACAAGTAGAGTTAAACTTATCAATTTAGAGTTTTAGTGGAACATTATGAAACCTATCCATTAAAGACAGCTCACACTAAAACTCGTTTCCACAGAAAAGGAATAATTAGAAAACATGAAAGGGAAGGCAATCCAACATATTTAGATTGTCAGGTAGTGAAACAAGTCAAGCAAATACTGACCTTCTGATATTTGATAAAACGATAGATTTTGTTAGAAAGTCAGGAAGAAAATATCATCTTTCTGACTTTGTCAAAATAAACATTTTCCTTTAGAAGCATATAAGTGTCTGTGTATAAGGGAGCTAGCAATCTGTCCACTGAAAACCTAGAGGGTATTCTTGGTATTCAGTAGGCTAGGTTTCACAATGACTTGACAAAGCCTTGACACTAAGAGTACTTATATCTGCTGTCAATCACTCACTCCTTGACATGTCAAGTGCACATCCTTTCAGGGACAACTTCAATCAGCATTAGTACAGTACACAGTGTCACTGCTTCAGAAATGAAAGGAAAAACACCAAGTGTTAGGTGGCAGGTAAAGGCACCTTTTTTATGAGAGATCAGATTCAAATGTAGAGTGAGTGAAAATCACTGAGAAGTTGGGAGGCTGAAATTACAGAGTTTATATGGGTTTCTCTGGGGGAAAATCTTTTGCTGTACATCCTTGCAAGAGAAAATTTGAACATATCACCGAAGATGACAGGGGTCCATCCTGTAACAAATGTTGGATCTACAGACTTGCCTCGTATACTGGATTATTAGAACCCGGAAAATAAAAGCGATTCTGGAAGGGAGAAATACCTAGATGTGGCTCCAAGGTCTGCAAAGAATCGGAAGCGACTATTACTCTGTCGCTTTCTCATACATACTTTTCTCTTTTCCCTTTTAATCTTGTGTTCTCTTTTACTTTTCCCTCTATTTATTCATCTATTTTCATTATCTTATTAAAGCAAGTGAAAGAACAAGGTGTCTGGAGTCAGCTCTGTGGTCAAATGAGTACCAACTGATTCGACAGTCGCTCTGGGAAGGTTACTTGAGTTTTCTACGCCTTGTCTGACTTATGTATGAAATATGCTCCACAGTCCTTAATTTAGAGTGTTAATATAAAGACTAAACAACTTCATAGCTGTACACAAAGAATGTAGCCATGATTGGCGCTGGAAGTATTCACCTATTCTCCCCTCTCTTCTGGTTCTGCTGCCCCAGCCTCACTGAGGGAACTCAAGGGACGGGTCCCCTACCCTCTTCAGCACACTAGCAGAAATGACCTAGGACACTGGGAGTCCCATCGGGCAGCAAGAACTTTTATTTTCCAAACGATGACCCACAAGCCACCAGTCTGTTAGTCTTATTTTAATTGGTGCAGTCCTCCCAGCACCAGGCACTAGCCATGTGCCAGTCTGGAGTTTGTCGGTGGCAACAACAGGCTTTCCAAGTTCGCAGCCTTTCAGATTACATGCCAAGAATGCCCCTTGAAGGCCATGTAGAAACTTCGATCCCGACAGAGCTTATAAAAACCGTCAAGGAGCAAATTATCAAAAGCATTTCTTCTACTCCGATATAAGCAATTTTCATTACTATAACCTGATGAGCCATAAAAGCTGGAGAAATCAGATACACTTTAAGGGGAGGGACCCTAATTTTAAAAAACTTAAGGGTAAACGTACACAATGCACTGGACTAGCGTTTGTTTTAATGCCTTCCACTAAAATAATTTGTGTCGTATTTTCAATTACCCAACAGGCAAGCCCTGTATTTGAAGCTGGATTATTTTCTGCTGACTCTATCGCAGGCCTCCCATTCCAGCTGAATTGAAAAGACCGGTGGCCTTGTGTAGATGCCCTACCCAAGAGGGAGGTAAGATTTATGAATTCCACGAAGAACATGCTTCTCTACTGAAGAAGGCAGATTTCTATTTTTGCCAAGTTCAATTGGTAATTGAGTATATAGAACTTGTATACTTTTTCCTTTTTCAATTGATAGCCTTGCCTTTTTTCGCCCTTTATTATACGTGTTATTAAACTTTAGAGCCAAGAACTGCCAAAAGCCACAAAGCATTCATTTCCCCCTGAGATTAGAAGAGGAAATGAAACATTTTTATTTTCATCTAAAGCAGAAATTTAAGTACTCAAATTTCATGTTAAACTCATCTACCCCCACATGCAGATTAGAAGCTACTCAGCGGCAAGAGCATCAGAAGAAAAAGTTCTAATCAGCCTGAGCAGTTCGCACCCATGATTAGAAAGAAAAAAGGAGAGCTGTGAATTACAATGAACTCAGACAAACTCAGTGTCCATGTTGGATTAAAGGATTTGTATTGTCAGTTTGATGTACAATGAATGCAAAAATCAGCCATTTAATTAAATGGTACATGCTATAATCACTTTGTTCTGCATAGAGCCACTTCCCTTATCAGAGTGCCTTTAGTTTAGCAATTGTTTACTATCACAGGACTCCTCTTAGACACTGTTTAACCTACATTATTCCAAATATGAAATCTGGAACTTAAAGAGCAATATTATAATAGGTTTAGCTGGTACAGTTCCTCAGTTTATTACTGAATACAGAAAATAAGAGAACTACTATTTTTTAAAAAAAAGAATGATTTAATTTTCCTTATTATTATTATTTAATATGCTATAGGGCATATGTGGGTATCAGAGAGAGAGAGAGAGAGAGAAAGTGAGAAAGCAAACTACCAGGTCCGGGATGCACACTGCGTGGGCCATGTGGCAGTCCAGTGCCTAATCACTGTGCCACAACTGGTTCTGAAAACTAGTTTTAATTACAAAAGAAAGAAATTCTTAGATGTCAGGGCCAGTAGGTGGCGTGGTGGTTGAGGTGCTGGACTCCCACATGCCTGACTGGTTTGAGACCCAGACCTAGCAGCTTGCCTTCTCACTCTCCCTCTCTCTGGTCAAATTGAAGAATAATAATAAATAAATAAAAATTAAATAATTCTTTAAAAAATTCTTAGATGTAACTGATAAAAAAATTTAAAAACCAGGAAAGGCCCAACAGTGGTGTAGTAGTAAAACTCACTCTGTGAGGCCAGCTCACGTGGAGAGGTTCTAAATTTGCATACAGAAATCTCCTTGAGTGCACCAGCACATGCATGCCCATGACCAGGGGCTGGATAGAGCTGGGAATGGATCACGGCATCAAGACCCTGTTGGGAGGACCAGCAGTTAGTGTAATGGCTATGTCGCTGGACTCCCATGTGGCCGACTGCGGTTCGAGTCCCAAATCCGGTGGCTTAGAGTCACATAGGGAGCATGTGCGTGCGTGCCCAAGATTCAGAGAGGAAAATGGAGGAGGGATTGCAGCGTGGCCATCCCCCTGGGGGGTGATTTCTGGCTTTCTGTCTCTCTGTCTTTCAGGCGAGCACATGCGCCCTATAGGAAAAGACCCTGTTGGGCATGCTGTCCTTTTGATTCTGTCTCTCTCATTCATGGATTAAATAAATTTTAAAAATTAATTCTTAAAACCAATTTCTAAAACCAAGGACATAGAGATTGCAAAAAATACTTCAAGAACAAGTGGTATTTCCTTATAAACTATTCAATAAGTTAGACTTTTCAAGTATTTCCTAATCACATACCTACAACTACAAAATTTCCTCAAAATAGTTTTCTTTGGGAAGAACTTAGAAATTTCTCTGGCCAACAAGAGCACTAAGTTTCTGAGATATCTGAAACTAGAGCAGGCGGTAGGACCACACACCTGACGGACGTCAAGTGCCTGGTTGCCACAGTGGGTTGATCTATGAAAAGAAGATGGGACAAAAATAATAGAACCAGGGCCGGCCGGTGGTAAGGTGGTTAAGCCACTGGACTGCCAAATGGCCAACTGCAGCTCCATTTCCAGACCCAGTGGCCTGAAACTCACACTGGGTGTGCGTGCACCCAAGCCCAAAACCCCAAGAGGAGAATAGAGAAGGGATTGCAGTGAGGCCACTGTCCACTGGGTGTGTGTGTGGGGGGGTGATTTCTCACTTTACTTCTCTGGTGAGCAAGTGCCTAATGGCAAACACCTTAAAAAGGGGGGGGGGGAGAAGGCTTTGGTGGAGGGGGGGGGAGCAGAAGGCTTTGGTAGCCAATTGGGATTAAAGAAAAAGGAAAATAATCAAAGAATATAAGGAGGATAGATTTGACTGGAAGGATTAAGTCACCCAAATTTTCATATACTTACTGCTACTGCGATTCTTCCAAGAACATGTTCTGGAATTTTCCTATATACATCCAAAGATCCCCCTGCGGAGGCAAACATGCGGCGTTATCATCAACGGGGCTACTAGGGCAGTGCGCTGAGCTGCTCTGCTCTCAAGGCGGGAGCACGGTTCCCTCTTCCTCCAGCAGGCACTGCTTGTGTAGGGGGAAACGCGTGTTTAGTTAGATTTTTCTCATGGCATAATCATACTTCCAAGTGCAGTATAACTACATACTTCCATTTATTCCCAGGTATACAGTTACATTCATTACAAAAAGATGACTACGAGGAGGAAAACTAGTCACAGGCAGGCTAAGAATCTGCACTTTGCATGAACTTAAGTACATCCAAGAAATGGTAGAGATCGACATGATCATCACCTTTAGATGTCTGCCTTGAGTACTGGAGCCCCATCCTAGAATTTTCACATTAACCAAACCAAAGTTGGTGGATATAATGTTTAAAATACACATAAAAACTACTAAGAGTGGGACCGGGCCATGGTGTGACCGGCCTGTAGTGTGATGGGTAGGATGACTTCTCACACGCCCAACACATGGTTCCAGTCTTGGGCCTGACAACTTGAGAAACACACCAAGCCCATGTGCACAAATGCCCCTAATCCCAAAAGAATGGAGACGGGACTGTGGCATGAATATTCCCCATGAGTGGTAC